ATTATGTTGAAGATTATTAAACTTAATTTTTTTGTTTAAATTCAACACAAATAAATTGTTTGCAACAGTTTTGCATGCAACATTTTTTTCAGTGTAGGCGCAAAGTCTAAAGCGCAGTCTGCAAAAGCATTTAGGGTGTGTCAGGATCTACTTTTGCTATTTTAAGGACTGAAAAATTCGCTCTGCACCCCGGCGCATGGTCCAACAGGGTTGAGCTTATTCTCTTGATGAGTTATAGGTGTGTTTTGAGAATAAACCAATCAGAGTCTCATCCCCCATTCCCTTTAAGAGTCTTTTTTCGCATTTGCTATTTACTTGGCGACTTTGTAAGTGGAAAAACTGAACACTTCACTATATAAGAAAACAGTTCAACAGAGCATCTGCAGCACGAGGATGAGAGATGAGCCTCCTCATTCTTTATTTTCACTTTCACTCTCTTTCGTGGATAAGAAAACATGTTGTACGCACAGACATCCATCAGCCTAAATTGATTTCGTTTGTTAAAGGGTCATGACACCCCTCACTTTTGGTTCAGATCTACCTCAGAATTTTTTCAAAAGGTGCATGATGATGGGCGAGGAGCTCCGCGAGCAAAGGGCAGGAGTGGGCGTGGCCAGCAGGGGAGAAGGAGGGGAGCGAACAACTGTTGTCAGTCGGCTCACAAAATGAGACACAAACCGTGAGGAGACGCATGATTTTATAGTTTACAAAGTTAAAATGCAAAGAAATAAACAGTAATTTAATGTCCCGCTACATTTGTTATTTGTAATTTCATATACACATAACCACAATTTATATCATCATAAAGATAATCGTTTTCATAAAAACACTATCAACTGTTTTCCCTCAATCCCGGGTCTGAATGCAGACTCAGTGCAGCAGGTCTCTTGCTCTGTCTATTTTACCCATTAGCCCTGTTGGTAATCTGGAGGATTTAGGTAAACACAGCAGCACGGCGATGTGTCTAAATGTGAACGAACAACTGATAAAAGACAACGTCCACCATTCTCTAATTCTCATACTGCTCTCACGACAAAAATGCTAGCTGCACACAAACAGCTTTGCTGTATCGGCCCTGACAGCATCGCGGGAAAAAACATGCAACAAACTCCGTGGATCATGAAAGAAAACACATATAAGCCTTCATGAACAGCTAAATACTGTGTGCCATGGGTCCGTGTCTCTTGGGACTGGCAGGTCTGTGTCTTGCCTTCAGAAAGCACGTGCTCTCATGAATAATTAAGAAGCCGGCTCTTTTCAGAGGATAAGAAAATTCTGCTATGAACAATAATGAGAAACCGACGCGTCATCACTCCACTTGCAGTTCTTCGCTACATCACCGATTTTTATCACGCCCAAAAAATCATTTTAATCCCGGAAGCTGAAATTAGCAGACAAAAGCTCAAAATTATCCAGTTTCCCCACAATTAAAGCTAACAGGTGCTTACATTGTCTTAACTGATCCGCAACACACACAAACGGATAAAATCTCAAAAAACAGTCCTCGAGGGTTTCGTGAATCTTTAAGCGCAAGGATTTGTTTGTATTTTGTTGGATTCATAAATCGTGTTTTAATCTTACGAATTGGATTTGCACATTTTTGAATCGTGTTTTGAATTTATGAACTGGGTTTTGTAAATGTGAATTGTGTTGTGGATTTATGAATTTCATTATGTAAACGTATTATTTTTGAGATTGATCTGGCTCCATTTAAACTGAATCAATAATCTGAATCGAAATCGGTTTGAAAAAAGAAAACAACCAAGTCTCTTCACTGAAAAGTGACAGTGATTCATTAATTCACTGAAATTATTGATTCAAAACAGCTGTGTCATTTTGAAAATACACTGTAAAAAAGCTATTAGTTGACTTTACTTACAAATTAAGAGTAAATATGTTGCCTTAAAGTGATTAAGTAAACCTATTTGCTTCACTGAATATTTTTGTAGTAATGGAAACTGCTGACATACAGCAATGAGCGTCTGGTTTTTAGTCTATTAAATGTCTGTGTGTCAGTTCAATAGTGTACTTGTGTGTCCTCTGGATCAATACAGACAGCAGTATAGAGCAGCTGGAGCATCGGCAGCTCATTATGATCAACAGCCCTGCAGCACAAAATACACGCAGATATGGTGCATCTACTGCAATAACATGCAAATAAAGACTAGAAGGCCACAGGTTCTCTCACAGACACGTTTCATGAGGATTTACTGCTTTGTTGGTTTTTAATCCTTTAATGGTCTCGTGTGTGTGTTATAACTCAACAAACTGCATTAAACTGATCTGTCAGTGAACAGCATTAAATGTCACAGTATCTAAGGAGGATGAAGGGCATTTGGGGAAAATAATCTGTCAATCTGCATTTCAGAGAAAACTGACAGACACATTCAGGACATTGACTGAATATCTCTCTCTGCGTCATTATATATGTTACCCAATCACAATATTTGAACAGAGCCTACACAGTTATTTATAAAACCTGGCTCAATTTTTTTTTATAATACCTTCACACAAATTTTGGACAATTTTGAACAGTTTGTTAAAACAAACACATGAAGTCTTTAAGTTATAAAGCATAAAACTGCTGTTACCTTTATAGTTGAAGGTAGAATTATTAGTCCCCCTGTTTATTTTTTCCCCCAATTTCTGGTTAACAGATTAAAGATAAAGATTTAAACTGTTTAAAGCTGAACAGTTGTCAACATATTTGCATAAGCTTAAGAGAACAAATATAGAGAAAGTAGTTCATGACATGTTAATTTAAGAGAAACAGAATATATATACATACAGTGGAAGTCTGAATTATTAGCACCACGTTTATTTTTTTTTCCAATTTCTGTTTAACAGAGATTTTTTCAACACCTTTATAAACATGATATTTTAATAACTTATTTCTAATTTCAGATTTATTTTCTCTTTGCCATGATGACAGTAATTTGACTAGATATTTTTCAAGACACTTCT